TGATGGAACCTGCAAATGTTTGGCATTTTTGCTTGATAAATGACATAAAAGATTAATTGTTACAATAAAACATCCAGCACTACTCTATCTGTACAGATTATTATTTGAAACAATTTTATATTTAATGCATAAATTAGATTTTTTGACTCTCTGGAGGAATTAAATTCTTCTAACACTGGAAACACTTCTTTCCCTCACTGTCCAGCGTTAATAACTATATTACTGGGTGACACTCCAGGGAATAGTCCATTGCATGAGAGCACCGTGGATAATCTCTAAGAAAATGTGAGAACAGTCAGTAAGGGAGTAGGTGTCTTGTTCTCCAAAGACAAACAGAGACAGAGATTAGTTATGGTAATAAGCTTCGGTGAGTAATCCAGATGGTGGAGCCATGTGTGTATGTAGAGTAAAGACAGAAGTAGCTCCTGAATGTAAGAGGATGCTTGAGATTTCTGCTCTGAAACACAAACTGGACTCTGCTCTTGAACTTTTTCACGTGACCTGTTAAAAGAAGTTTACTCACTTACCTAGTTGGCACTGACCATTAGCTCAACCTGTCCAAAGTGTATTTCACTGTCATGCAATGAGCCCTGACCTGACTTAATAGTTTAAGACAAGAGGTTGCTTGCTTTCCCCTGGTCAGGAAAAACTTGCGGTATACGGTCTAGAGAGAAAAATAAACACTGGACTGGAGTTATTTTGGCTGCCTGGAGGCCTTCCTTTTAAACAACACACTAAAGTAGGTTAGATGACCAGATGGAAATAAGACTCAAACAACATAGGCAGGATGGCTTTCACATTAAGTTTCAAGCCAGGTCTAGCTGAATATTCTATACTTCTTTCATCTCTGTCTTTTTTCTTATGAATTTGTTTATATAATGAATGTAGGCTTGAGAATGAATTAAAGATCCTAAGTGTATTTTTTTCCCTTCTTTTTAAAAATATTTAAATCCAAACAACACATTACAAGCATAAAGGAACAGTCAAAGATCGGAAATGTGCAGGTATATTTCATAAAATCCATTAGAACCATATAATGAAAAAATCCCAATATAAACGTCCATTTAGAAGGCGACAAATTCTTAACATCAACCCTTTTCTCCCTTGTCATCAGGTTTCCTTTGTCTAGACCACCATGGGAAACTCACTAAACTGTCAGTATCTCAGTCACGGCACACATCATCGAACGCTTTGGCTGGGTCGCTACGTTTCCTCCCCAACTCAAGTGTCCGGGCACTTTAATGTGAAACAGCAGCAGCTGCTTTTTGTTCCCCTTCTCTTCCTCACTTGACATTAAGTAAAGTTCTGGGCGTATACTGGACATAATTTTTCTGTCTGTGCTGCAATAACATTCGAGGCTGCAGAGATTAGCGGTCGGTCGCAGTTGGCTGAAGAGTAGGTGTCATATTTTACGGTGCCATGTCTGGATTCAGCTATATGTGCGGATGGGATGATGCTTTCTCTAAGATATCAAGATTCATATGTGTCTTATAGACCTGTGGTTCCCAACCTTTTTTTTTTTGTCAGATGTTCCCCCAAAGCTGTATCAGATGAACTCAAGTATCCTTTTATTGACAGACGCCACCTGTCATGTTCCTTTGAATGAACATGTTCATTTGAGTTTACGCCGGATGTTATTTACCGCTATTAATGATAAGAAAATGGATATTGTTTTTATCTAAAGAGGGTGTGGGTCGTCTTCCACATACGCCACCGTGCTAAATGACCATGTTTCTACAGTAGCCAAGAATAGACAAACCAAAGTACGGTACATAGGGTTGCATTTTTTGCAAACTCTGTGGTCATCATAGCTTTCTCCTACATGCTTGGAACAGGAGAGTGACGCAAAGGGGTGGCAATCTGCAACTTTCAACTGTTCATCGATTACTTTAAGCCATTTCAATTTTTTATCAATCACTTTTAGCTAACGTAAACTGTTCTGACTTTCTGCCTGCTTGCTAAATAGTTTACATACACTCAGTCACAGCAGATGATTCAGTATGTGGTTTCTAAAAACAAAATCTAGCTAGTCTTCAGTACAATCCTTCCATGTACCCCTGGCAACAGCAGAAGTACCCGAGTCCACACAAAACGAAAAAAAAATTAAGAAGAATAAGCAGCTTGTTCTTTTCTAGAAAATGTGACTGTATAATATTCTCCTCTTGTCTCCCTCCCTCCCTCCCTCTTCAGTCTATGACTCCTTCGTACCCCTCCTCTACTCCCACTCCCTCTGGGGTGCTACATATCGTGGTCCGGGGAAGAGCACTCTCTTTGTTTCTGCGGTAATTGGATGAGATGAGCTGAGCTGTGTCAGTGTCCCCATCACCTCCTCCTCGGCAGGGTGCAGGAAGAGGGAGGGAGCAGGGAGTAGGAGGGAGTAGGAGAGAGAAAGAAAGGAGCTAGGGAGAATGGAGTGCTCCCACTGCCAGGGACTCTGATTAGGCAGAGAAGGCAGCCATTATCCCAGTATAGTCAGAACAGGCAACACCAGGGGGGGTCGGTGTGACACACTGGAAAGGTTATCATGACTGTAGGGGTTTCATTAGAATGAACAAATCACTGCTTTACATGGCTCAATGGAGATGTCCAAAAGAGACACAGTCTGGGACAGGAACAAAGTGTGACTGTGGCCTTATCATCTGAAGGGAGATGAAAGCGAAGCCGTGAATTCATTGGACTAAAATACTCCATTTATATATATGCAAATAATTGAACACAATAACAACCCCTCAAAGTGTTATTGTGGCTCTTTTCTAAATGAGAAAGGCCGAGAGTTCAAAGATTTCATCTCAAAGGATTGGATCTTTTGAGCGTCATGTTTGATCGCAAGCTTTGCTCTGCCTAGCTTTCTGAAAAACCTTGTGGAGAAAGTTTGACTTCCAAAACGGCCTTAAAAGAATCATTTTGTTAATTTGTTTTGTTACATTTTTGCTTTCATTTACGTTTTTTGCACCACTGTAGGTAATGCTGCAGTGACTCCATCTTAATATAATATGTTACTTATTTATAAAAGGACGAAGGTTGAACATTTTTGGATTTTATCTACGTAATGTCTTATTGTGCATGTGGTGAAAGCTTCTGGCTGAATAAGACCTGATTGGTGAATGTTGGTGAAAAACCTTTTTTTTTTGGAGATTACATTAATAAAAATTAAACATATACTGACCCAAAAGTAGCTTTTTCTTTCACAGGCAAAACAAAACTTCTTCTATGGTGTAAATTCATAGCCTTTAACAGTATAGTATAATTTTTTTATGCTACCTTGATCACTCTAAATGAGGCACCACCTTTACCAACTGAATTATAAGTTTAAGAGTTGTTTTAACTTGTCTGGAGAGCAGTGGGAGCTAATAATAGCAATTGTCAGTTGTTCGTTAATGTATTCATACAACTCTGGCCGAAGAAAACATGAGAAAGAGGGCAGTGGGAAGAGGAAAAGGAATTTACCTGGACCCATCTGGCAGCTTCCTATCAAAGGAGGTGCTTCGTGGGATAGCTGCCTGGTGCTGCTGGAGGATCTGCTGGCACTGCAGGCGGTCAGGGCCCTGCGTGGGCGAGCCTCGGGATAGAGGTGCTCCAGCAGCTGTGGGCACCCGATGCCAGGTGGTGTTTCTCCTGAAGGGTGTCTTGTACTCGCAGGGTGTACCCTCGCTGTCGACCTTGTACTCCACCATGGGTATGCGGTAGAGCTCGGAGCAGCCCCTGATGTGGAAATATGGAAATAAAGAAGAAGGTTAAAGGTCAGCGATGATGCAGGTATGAAAAGGCTACAGTAATATCCTAGTTGCACTGCAGGTTAAATTCCTTACAATAGCATTTAGCTGCTTAGTTGCCACTGTGTTCACTGTGTTCGCTAGGTGCTGCTGAGCAGGTAACCAACAAGCTAAAAGACCCCAAACGACTCAAATGGATCAGCAGAGAAAAGCAGAGTGATAATACTTTGAGGATTCATCACTACAAGTGACCACTTGCACATTATACACCTACATTCTTTCCATTTATAACAAATATATTGAAAAGTTGCAGTAATTACTGTGGAGAACACCCTGAACCAAATAATTATAATATAATAAATTCTCTTATTTTACACATGATTTTCACATGATTCCGCAATTATTAATTCAACACTGTGCGTATATCTACATATTTCATTATGGATGATGTAGTGAATAATAAAACTTTAACAGCTCAAATTCAATTTGCATTATTACGATTAATGTATCATCAGCTTTATAATGTATTAATGATTTTTACTAATGTAATGTAACATTACATTACATAACATGTTTTATTAAAAATTTTATTATTGTGTTACAAGACAGGTACAGCATTTTCAGTTGTTACAGTACTTTATATTGTGATGATTGGGTGTGGGGGAGCCCTCATCCTTTTTATTATCATGACAACACCAAAACCCTAATACTGGCAGAAATATATAGCCAGAGGCAGACATCTAGATGTGGTGTGTCAACAATAAACACACACATACAGTTGCATGTGCACACTGAAGGCTTACAGGAACATCAGAGACACTTTGAAAACAATGGAAAACACTTTGCCCATTTTAATAGAGCCGAAAATCTCAGCTTGCCACTTAATCAGATATGGGTCTCCCCTGAGTAGCTCTACACAGGAGGCTTTTCCTCCCTCCATCTCCATCCCATTACTGCTAACAACACTGAGGATCTCTGCGATGGACAAGGCCTGTGATGCCATTTCATGCAACATTAATCTTTGGGGCTGGGTAGAGTCTTGGTGTGTATGTTTGGAAGGACGGGGGGTTTACAGGCTGGTGGGTCAGGGTTAAAAAGCCTTGTTGCTCTGCTAGCTCTCTGAAATCATCTCAAGCATGACCCTAATGATTACACTGCCCTCCCCCTCCAAAGTCCATTTTGCAGAATCCACTGGGGGGTGGAAAGCTGTGTATATTTTGCTGTGGTCATACATGTACACACAGCAGAGCTTGAGGAGGGTGCGCAGGCTGATTGCAAAGGCTGCGGTGGAGGGGGCGAGTAATCCCTCTCAGGGAGACCTTTTCATCAAACTGGGCCATGGGTGGCTGGGCTGTTTACAGCCGGTCTCCCACTGGAGCTGTGGGTGTTATAAGATCTAACTAGAAGATCATCCGTAGCTTCCTCCTCCTTCTCCTCCAACAACAACATGTCTCTCACATCTGGTCAATGTCATCACCAGGCTGGCCTTAGCCACGATGAAGGACTGTAACTGGTTTGCTCTACATCCTCCACAGTTTACATTACTTATTTACTGTATGTATGAAGCATGCATCACCGGTTTGATATGTGGGGCAGTGAGAGTAATGAGTAATGTGACATTACAGCATGGGAAGACATGTCCATAAATGAAAACGGAATGTATTTTGTTGGTGAAGCTATTGTATATGTATATGAGGAGCTCAATCATCTGTGATTTAACAGATGAAATTATTATCTGACTTAATTTCAGTGTGTAACCTGAGGTCTTTCATCCACTGTTTTGTTCATTTCAGAACAAAAGGATGCTAACAAGAGTGTTAAACCCTCCAGACTGTTGGTCAATTGGCTTTTCAACAGGGCTGCTAACCCACTCATTACCTTGATTAACTGTGTGTGTGTGTGGTCATGCCATGTTGCCACACATCATTACTCTCTGAAAAGGCTAAACCTAGCTAACAGCTTGTCAACAGGAAAGGTCTCAGCCGTTGTCTCTTGCTCTCCTTTTTACACCAGAACGACCACGAGCTGACAAGGTAAATTTCTCTTATGATACTAATATTCTCCAGCAGCCCCCCAAGCTTAGCAGGAAGTGGAAATACCCGTCGTACTGGCCTGATGTATGAGGAATGTGCTTCTTGTTTGTAACGTATAGGGGGACTCGGGCTCACTGTGTATAAATCATGGAGAAACAGCAGGAAACGTGTGTTTGGTCAACAGTTAAACCTGAGCTGGAGGCTAGTGGTGGAGGAGATGCTGTTGGACACATCCAGCCTGTAAGGAGAGGAGGAAGCCAGGAGCTGGTGAGAAATAATACCGTCTGCTTCCTGCTTGATTCCACCAAGAACTGTTGCTGCAGTCTTCCAGCTAAATGTGAGGGGCCATAAATTATACCACAATGGCCTACATACGCTTGTAGAGAAGGAGAACATCTACAACTTAAAAGCAACATTGAGTCAAGGAAAAATAAAAAAAATTGCAACAATTTGATGTGACATCACTAAGATAACATCATTGCCCATTTAAAATAAAATAAAGAGTTCAGCTGTGTTCGTGGCCACTTGGAGGTGAACAATCAGCTCCTTCAGCCATTGGCTCTTAATGAATTACAATAGATCAGTGTGACAACAGGACCTTAGACCTCAGTCAGAGAGCTGTCACTCTAATGACATGGCCAGCAACTGAGGGACATGCTAATCCATTCTCACAGTCAGAGTCCATGTCACAGCAAAGAGCCACAGAGGTTGTGACCTCCACCAGCCTTTTGCAGAGCATTGTGCGGAGGTTCATTAAATAAGGTTGGCTGAAAAGTGTGTAGGATTGCAAAAAAAAAAAGAAAGAGAAAGCCCTTTTTAGTGATTTCTTTGCAAACTGATCCAAAGGAAAGAACAGCTCCTGTGAAGAATGTGAGGGGATTAAGTCGAGCAATTTGTGATGCAGGTTCTCTGAATTTTGGTTTAGCGGTGCTCTTTTTCACAGGGTGTCGGCATGGGAAGTGAGAAATCCGGCTTAACTTCAGTCCAGATGAAAATCCATGATGACAAGTCTGATGACACTTCAAAGGAAAGGTCACAAGTGGCCATCTGAATGTCATAGGCAATACTCATTATCAGCAGGGGGCTGGTGCTGGGTGAACCCACTTAAATTCAGGTTACCTACCATTTTAAACATAAATTGTTGTGCTTAAAACATCAACTGTGCAATATGTTATGATAAAAACGCAGGAGGCTGATACTTTGACCATACAGATGCTTTTTGTTTCTGTGTGTATGTCTTGTAGTAATCATCCATTTTAGTCCATATTATACTGATCCCTTTGTTTACTCTTACATCCCTGATGACCATATACTAAAAACATACAATCACTGCCATGTTCTGTATACTGCATTCCTCTTTCAAAGAGCTAATCTTTTTCATCTTTTTCTCATTAGTTTGATCCAAGGCTAACATGCTGAACTTGTTTAAAGCTTTTTAGAGTGATGATGGAAAAGCCTCCAGTATTGCACTGGGCTAAAACCACATCCTTCCTCCAGTGTAAATAAATACAGTACTAGGTAAGGCTAATATTAGAGGCATATCTCCATTGGCTTAAGGCTGAGAGGGGTAAAACCATTTAGGGCATAAACAGCTTTAGGAGGTTTGCTGCAAAACAGTGCTATAGTAGTCTAAAAGTCCCTTTTTTCTTCCAAATAAAATCTTAGCAACCATATGACCCCATCAATCCTAGATCTGGAGAAATCACAAAGTAAAGAAGACTAAATTATATTCTGAATTTTTAAAAACAGTAAAAAGAAAACTCTCTCCTTCTAGCCCCAACATGTGCTTATGAAAACATTTTTACTTGTCATGGTAGCAGTGTGGAGCCAGGGTACATTGTTTGGAGGTCATGAGACTCTTGTCCATTGTTGTTCGACTAACCCCCATCTCTCTGGCCACAGGGGACTGACTGGGGCCTTCGAGCCCCTGCTGAATTCCTTTCCATTGAGATAATAGTGGAGAAACTGGAGCACTTATTGTTGTCTGCAACACTTGAGCAACTCAAAGACGCAGCAGCGAAAAGAGTTGAGGGCCCTCGAGATTCTTCACCTGACCTCTCCACCTCTAGATTTGTTGGAACCTGGAGAAATTCACAGGACCCGAGATGGAGCCTTTTGGTTCTCATGGGATCATGATGAGAAATTGTGTTTCAGTAAGATGGGAGTCTCCCAGTAGAGCTCAACAGCTCTGACCAGTATAGACTTCTACTGTAATACCTACTAATCTGCCCGATGCATCTGTTAGCAACGCCATATATGGGTCAAGCTTGGTTCATTATGCATGATGGACACACAGCATGATACATAATGCATACTTTTGGACACAGTGCTAAGTAGCATGTGTATTTTTAAAACCATCTTTAATTGGCTGTCTAAAGTACCTTCACAGACTTGGGTGGTGTCAGTGAAACCAAGCCAGATGTCTTCCACTGGCACAAATATCGTGTGCCAAAAGCTTCCTTTACAGAATCTTTCAACCTGTAACATCTCCAGAGAGCCGGACCCGCATTTATAGACACAGAACCAGTTTTGAAAGATGTTTGTTTTGTCTGCTTTCTGCTTCCCTGAACTGCGATTATGATTGTATCATCATGTATCATCATAGATCGTGGTAAGAGGATTAGACGTCTGTTCTGCCAGAGTGGCTGGTGTGTTGGATTCCCAGACGAGGCATGTTAGCCCACCATCTGGGGGAGCAAATATGTTACTCCGCTGTTGCCAGACCAGAACACAAAGTTGAAACACAGTTAAACACGCACCTACTACGACTAGTCTTTGACATAATGACACACATGTACACACAGCTGTTTAAGAACGTATTCAAACAGAAGCTTTAGCAAGGCTGCCATTTATATCATTTTCCAAAAATAGACATTAGACTTAATCTTCTATAAACACATTTAATCTAAAATCACTCATCCACCAGCGATTTATCAAAAGTCTTCAGCAATCAACACTTCTGTTTATCTGTTTTGAAATGTCGTCCACAGGTTTTTCATTTGAATTATCAGCTAACAACATTAGCATTAACTGCAACATCACAAACACAAAGTGGAATTAAGGGTAGTGGAGGTATTCTCTCTGCACGCTGTCAAATCATTCTGCTGTGGTTATCTGCGACAAAGTGGGAAGAGCATTTGCTGGTACACAAATCTGTCAGCCTCAAGCACAACAAAAACAAAGATGTCAAAAATTTGAGTGTGAAAGAGTGATGGATATGATTTCACAGGACTGTCTGTCTCTCACAGACAAAACAAGCAGATGTGCTTTCAGAACAAGAATTTACACAGACCTTCATCTCTCCCGATCACAAAAGACCATTTGAAATATGCTTCTTTCTTTTTTATTACGGGAGCGATGGACTCTCCCCATGGGTGTGTGTCCCTAAAAAGCCAAACACTCCCATCCTAATTGCTGAATAGAAGATTGGGCGAGGTTAGAAAAAAGCAATCTGCAAATGTGAGCTGTCAGACAATGGCAGCAAGAGATGAGCCATTAATCAAAATGCTCCTCTCATTATCATTAGTGAGAAACGCTGACTGTCCGTGTCTGCGTGACTCTACAGCCCTGCTGGAGCTTTCTCTTGCAACAAAGCCACATCAGTACAAAGAGAGTCTCCTCTCCAGAGAAATCAGCGGAGAACAACATCAACCCTTGTGCAACAAAAACAGTATGTAAGCATTTCTTTATGCTAATCATCTAAAACATGAGAGCAAATGTCAAGCTAATTTACCCCAGCTGCATGGAGAAAAAGAAACTACTCTTCCGTTATGACTTCATACATTTTTGAGGAGCACCTGCGTCTGCGCCTTACAAACCACAGCACGACAGCCAAAAATGAAAGACAATAGGAAGCCTGCGTATGTTTCGTAAGCATCTTTTGTCTGCGGTGTTGCTGAAAAGTGTTAGTTTTCAAGTAAAAACAAAGTTGAGGTTTTACCTTCGGGGGGTGCCGTCTTCATGAGGCTGGATTATAACCACTTTGACACTGACGGATGTGCGCAGCAGGTCAATCATCTGCTCGTGGGTGAGAGTAGCGACAGCCACCTTGCAGATCTCCACCAGTCGGCTGCCCTGCCTCAACCCTGCCTTCCAGGCGAAGCCAAAGGGCTCCACGTCGGCCACGATGCCCTCAAAGTTGACATGGAAACCGAGCTGGCCGAGACCGTTCCGACGCAAAGTCATCTCCGACGTCTCGCAGCCTCTGGTGGTGATCTGGAACCAGAATCAGAATCAATTTGTTCATTAATACAAGTACACCAATTTAGTTATAGAGACATAAAGACAGCACAACTTTAGAAACACTTCAGAAGTCCAACACATGAAATGGACAGTAGACTGTAAGCAGTCACACTGAGAAACCATTACACAAGTATGAGATCAACAGAGAATGACTGGAAGCGGAGTGATCTTAATGTGGCTTAATAAGAGCTTTCTAAGATAATACAGTATATTCCAACAGTAGCTGTCAACAGTGTACGGTTTGCTTCTTTTCTAATAGATATGTGTGGGTTTTATTACACACAGAGAAACACACGCATGCACACACAAGAATAATACTATAAGAGAAGAGAAAAATCCTGTCCGCAGGCAGTAGTACAAAGGCATGTTTGTTTGGCTAATTCAAAGAACCTCTCAAAATGGAAGTTAATAAGAGGGTACATCACAGACCTAACCGATTTAGCCTCAGAGCTGCGCAGAGACAGCTAAAACACACATGCACTGCACACACAAATACACACCTGTCACTATGGACACTTGCTACAGTAGCTCTGTGGGTGGGGATTAGGATAAAATTGGCCCACGAGACACATACTCGTCCACAGAACTAAGTCTATTAACCAGAGTTAACTTCTAAGAGGACCTTGGAGCAAAACATTTATACACCAACACATAATCTGCATTAACTGGCAGCTCATGAACACACTTTGTTCACATCCAGAGTAAGAAAAGATCTTTTCACTTCTTTTTCTCACAGTTCTGGATACTGCAATCGTGAGACTCCACCCATCGGATACTTGGTGGACAGTTGCCAATTGGATGAAACTTAAAGTTGGTTCTTGTCCAATCATGTACTTGCATGCAAATGAAGTTGCTCACTTTGCTCAGCAGTGGCCTGGCTTAAGCTTCTGCTTTAATGCAATTCAGGTTCAACTGAAGTTCAGGCAACCCTCTTCGTCAGCAGCAATATTACATTAAAACACGCAACCACAGATCGGAGCAGAGGCGCAAACACGCAATTGTAGCCTGTGCATCTTGATGACTATGCTTATATATGTGTAGGTATACATAGGGAGTGGTACTTGTGACACCACTGGAAAAATTAATTCACTGCATTCATTGAGCTTCAATCACCCATCAGATTAGTCTTAGTTCAGATGTGGGTGACTGCCTCCATTTGCCTCAGAGTGGCAGCTGGCTTCAGGGACGCATTAACTCAGACTATGGCCTGTCAACACTCCACCAGATTCTCACACTGGCTAAAATCCTACCCCGCTGTGTGAAACTTGACCCGAGCCAACCATGATGGACATCACAGTGAGACACAACCCTAAAACTTTATTAACTGAGGAAAGCACTCATCCTGTTAATGACATCAGTTAAGTCACAGTCTCAGTTCTCCAATAAATACATGCTCAAAGTTTCAGTTTTCAAAGATAGATAAAACTTGAGAAGCACTTTGGTGAGATGACCCACTAACTAAACAATCACTCTACATAAAACATCAAGGGCAAAAGGAATTGGAAATGTGAAGTCCAAAAGCTCTCTGGGGGCAAAGTCTGGAAGTAAATGGCCTGTGTATGAGAAAGACATTGGCCTGGGTATTAGGGACCATGAATCACACTGCCCTTTGTCAGAAATTCATTAGGCCTAAATAATAGCTTTCTAAATGCCTTCATCAAGGCCCTTTATTGAGTCCATCCTGGAAATTAATGTGTCCAGGTTCTCCTACGAATGGCCCAAATCCATAATGGCTGAATCTAACAGGACACTCATTATCTCATAGGAGGAATTTGTGGCCTGTAAAGTTATTTTGATGGTGGATGGTGACATGAAGTATGGCAGTATGGATATATGTGTGTGTTTGTGTGTGTGTGTGTGTGTGTGTGTGTCCCCTGCTGACCAAAGCATTTCCGAGCCTAATGACGGGCTCTAACGTCTGGTGACATAAGACTACAACACTGCACTGAGGAAACAAACAGTATCAGCCTCAAAGCTGTTGTCAAGTAGTGTTGCTGGCGTTGATCCTCAGCGAGAGGTCTGACAGTCTGAAGCAGCTTTGACATTGATGACACCATCTGTAGTAGCATGCTTCACAGGCATGACGAAACCTTGTCATCCCGCTGAACTTCAAAGAAATAAAGCACATATTGGTAAATCTAGGGCCGCCTGTTTCCTCTGGGCTGTATATTTGTGGTTCTTACCGAATTTAATATCAAAAGGATATCTTTTTTTTTTGGAAAGAAGTTTGAAAAAAAAAAAAAGCAATGTAAAGATGTCAGTTCGGACATTTTTTAACAATTTTTGCACATTTTATCGAATAAATTGATAAAGAAAATAATCATATGTTGCAACCTAAAACTAACAAGATTATACTGTCACTAACTAAACATTATTTTTATTATCCATTAACCATGATCAATTAAGGTCTATAAGATGTCAGAAAATAGTGAAAACATGACCTATACAAAGTCCTTGTTTTATCTAGGCCTGCAACTAATGATTAGTTTCATTATTGATTAATCTGTCTATCATTCTCTCAATTAAATTATGTTGTTTGATCAATAAAATGTCAGAGAACTGTGAAAAATGCTACTTCCCAAATCCCAAGGTAAAGTCCTCAAATGTCTTGTTTCTTAAGAAAAAAACAGAAAATATTTTTACATTTAAGTAGCTGAAATCAGAGAACTTGAATTTGAGAATTGAATTGCCATATTTCTACAGTAGCCCAGAACGGACAAACTACGACAAACTACACACTAGCTCTAGATGGGGCCTTTTGCATTTTTCCAAAAGGTGGCAGCCACTATAGTTTCTCCTAGCTCCTCCTGGGCTGTACTCAAATGGTTGCAATCTGTAACTTCACCCATGGGTACCATTGAAACCTACACACTGGTCCATTAAAAGATCATTCAAAACGATGAATCAACTACCAAAATAGTTTCGTTTTATTCGACCAACAATCTTAAACCCAAAGTTTCTGTTTACTTGTATACATAACGTGTATATGTATATATAAAAAGAGCATCAATTCATCACCTAATTTGAAGTTTTTTTTTGTCCAGTAATCCGTTGCTGTAAAATTGAACCTGTAATAAACTACACAAACATTATATATAAAGCTGTTCTAATGCATTTATTGTCGTCATAGTTTTTCCTCATGTCATTTTGCTATTTTGCCTCTTCTATCACTCAAATCTATTGCAGAAACAGTACAAAAAGAAACACACACAAAATGTGGGAGGAAAAAAACAGCATACATGGCACCAGAGTCAAATGACTTGTCTCATAAAAGCTGAACACGCGGCCACCCAGCTCAGCAACACCCTGGAGAGCAGGACGTTATCATAAAGCTTTTAGTTGTGCTCCCACACTGGGCTCCTCTGTGCCTTACACTGGACAATCTGTTCATTCTGGTTCGCATTACATCACAGGTCCGGCAGTCTGTAAATCCTCCCAATGAAACATGATTCGAGTCAACCTCTGGGACATTACAGACACCTTTGGGACAAAGTATGCACGGTCAGCTCATACCCAAATGTGCCTACTGCTGCTGCTCCACTGTCTGTGTGAGTAACACAAATAGCCACCCACTTTTTTTAATACTTATTCTGAGCTTTTTCCTGCGAGATATTCCTCACAAATCCCATGTGTGAGTGGACAGTAAATGTGAAAGGATATTAGCATAGTGAATGAGGAAGTGAGGTCCTTTGGCTAATCATAAATGCTAATATATCCTGCACTGTCCTTTCTTATGATGAGTTGAGTAGACACTGAATGACATCCGTGTCCTCCTAAGATTAATTATGGTAAATACTTCTTTGGGGTCTTGTGGTTTTTGAGGTGGTTGGGATCTGCAAAACCTTTGTGCTCACATTCACATTTACTTTTATTCATTCCAATTTCTAATAGTTCATTGCAAAAGGTGATAATAAAAACGGTGTAATTATCTCTACCTACCATAACCCTCCGTTTTTTAGCAGGAAATGGATTTTTACTCCCATGTTGTTGACTCAACCAAAGATATGCTAGCTAGGGTCTGTTGAAAATTTTGAAACTGCTTGAACTTGCCAAAGGGATAAATGAAAGAGCATGCAGGCTGAAATAAGGTCATGCACAGCTCAGGTTTTGGATTTTGGGATTCAACCTCAATGTTATTTAAAGGAAACAAAGGATTGCCTGATTAGAGGTTCAGCAAACAAACCATGGAAACTAGAATAGGAAAAGCAAGCCTACGCAGCAACACAAGGAGCGGAAACAAGGCATCAGATGCCAGATTCCCAGCTAAGGAACCAGGTGTTTTAACCTATTTTTTTCTGGACTTGAAGGTAGCTAGACCCACCTGACCCCAAAAAAAAAAAATCGCACAATGAAATCAGTGCCAGAGTTGTACAGATGGCCAAGGCAGCATTACAAGATGGGGATGAGAGAACTTGGACTAAGTGGGTAGCTCTCCATAGGAGTGGAGTAGTCTGAGGCCAAGTGTCCTCTATTCTTAGGCTGTCAGACCCAAAAAATGTGTCTGTGTTTCCTCTCCTCCCCTTCGAAACTGGGTTGGTGTCCTGTTTAAGCTGCCTCCTCCTGTACCTGCGCCCAGACATCCGCAAAATCAAGAACGGGTCACACAATCACATCATCGCTAATCTTTCACTCTATTAACTTAACTGACTGCCGCAGGGAGTGGCTTCAGCTTTGTTTTTTGTTTTTTTTTTCAAAGAGGAGGACAACATCTGCACAACATCTGTACAACATCTCTACCTAAATGACCACTGTACTGGTCTGCTTATTCCGTGTGATGAGCCAAGGAAAGCTATCAACAGGAGGTCCATAATCCTCTCTATTGACTTCACTTTACAGTTTCACATTCAAGTGACACTCGTGTTGCTGTACAACTCAAAGAGGACCAGGTAGATAGAGGACAGGGGAGTAAGGAGTGTTGGGTTAATTCTGTAAGCTACGTCCTTACAATGTGAAGAAAAAGACAGTAAAAGAAACACAAGGAAAGAAAAGACTGGAAGCTCAGTGTGGAGTTGCAACACATGAGACTTGACAGGATAGATATAGGTTAAACAAGCAACGGTTCTGCTGACATAATGATGAAAATAAAATAACAAGGTTTGTGGTAAGCAGTAAAGCTACAATGGCAAGAGCAATATTTGCAGAATGCATTGTTTCACCACAAAGAGACCACAACTATCCCTAAGTAAAATGCCTCACTGCACCATTTAAAGTAAAAGCAGCCATTTTCCCTCATATGCCGTGCAGCTTATGTGTGAAATACAGTCATAATAGATTTACAGGGCAATTCTGATGATAGACTACCACTCCATGTTTTATGGGAGTTACTTATAGGTCACTTTTTAGGCAGGATATACTGGTGAACTCCTTTTCAAAACATTGTTAGATATTGGGACTAGAACTACCACAAGGAAGTTTTCGTACGCTAAGGAAAAGCAATTTAATCATTGGACAACAAAGCGCCAACAGCAAGGAAATGTGACAATCATGCTACAGACCACCAGTGCTGGTTCTAAGACAACGCCTCTCACATACAAAAAAGTTGGACACGGGGGTCTATGGTAATGGCCAGCACAGCTAAAAGCCTGAAACAGTATGGTACCACCCAAACAAAATGTTTGGCTGTTAAATTGGACCATCAAGCCATCAATTGCTTTGCC